AATTAATTAAAAGAACTTAATATACTAATAATATTATATTTTATATAAAAAGTTATAATAATTAATATATTAATACTTAAAACTATTTAAAGTATTTTATATATTCTCTCTAAAGATAGGTTTAAATATAATATTAAGTATATAGAAATAATCTTAAGATAGGAAAATTCTTTCTAAAGCTATATATAATTCTTATATATCTTTATAATATATACTAATTAATATTATCTTTATAATTTTATTTCTTAGCTTTAATTAGTAAGTAAAATACTAATAATAATTAGAACTAAAAGATCTTTTTTAACTATTTATTAGATAAGCTTATATATTATACTTACTAATAATCCTAGATATAGTATAGAGTATAGAAGAGGAGTAATAGTATTAGAAGATATAGAGAGATATAGTAGGGGTATAAGATAGTATAAGGTAGTAAAGTACTAGCTAGATAATTATAGAAAACTATAAGATATTATACTAAATATATATAGGTATTTTTATCTTTCTACTATAATCTAATTTAGTAATAAGTAAGTTCTATATATAAATTTATATATAGTATCTATAATCTCTTTCTTATATAGAATAAACTCTAACTCTATCTAATTCTGAGTTTATATATAGAAATTCTATAAGTATTAATATAGGTTATAGTATAGTAGCTCCTGGTTTATTATCTATTATATCTTTACTTATACTTATTATATATTAGTAGTTATAAGATAATCTAAGTACTAGATTAAGATCCTATTAAGATAGAGCTCTACTATATATATTACTATTTAAATAATAAGGCTTTAGGATTAGAATATAGTAGATATAAGATATATAGCTTTAACTCTGAACTTAATATTTTATAATATATCTATATATACTATATCTTAGATTATATATAATCTCTTATACTTATTTAATATATTCTTTTAATATATTATTCTAATATATTCTTCTAATATATTCCTCCTATATAATCTTCTAATAGATTCTTCTAGGCTAGATTAAATAGAAAGAATATAAAAGCTAAAATACTAAACTAATATAAAGAATAATATAGAATAACCTATATATAGTATTAAATTTAATAATATCTAGTAAGATCTTATACTCTTTAAATTAGCTTAATAAGATCTAGCTATAACTAAGAATAATATAAATATTAAATTAGCTCTAGTTATTATTATAGATAGTAGTATTATTAATACCTTAATTATTTAGTATTTAGCTAAGGAGAAGGATACTATTATTATTATAGAAGTAGTTAGTAGTATAGTAACTCCTAATTTATTCTACTAGCTTAATATAACTATTATAATAGAGAAATATTACTATAACTTCTAATACTACTCTATAGTATATTAAAAAGAGATTTATAAAGAGCTATTTAATTTTCTAATCTATTAGAATAATATTTTAACTTATAATAAAACTCCTAATAAGTAAATAGAATTTAATAAACTTTATTCTATCTAGAGTATAAAGATTAGATATATAAGCTAAACTATCTTTACTTTATAAAAGCTAGAAATTAATAATACCTAACTTTTCTTAGTAGAATAGAGCTTTTATACTCTTAAAGAGAGTACTATTAAAGTATATATTACTATAGCTTAACTAATTACTTATATTAAACTTCTAGATATTCAGATAGTTAGGATAAGTATTATTAGATTTTTAAAATATAGAAATAATTAAGTTTCTAATATAATAATAGACTATAGAAAAATATATAATAACTATATTATTCTAACTACTAGTTTTAGAAATACTTTATTATTAGTAATAGAGAATATTAAGCTCTCTCTAAATAATAATAAGAGCTTTCTTATTAGTATTATATTAACTAAAAAGTAATATCTTAATACTTTAGTCTGCTTATTAGAACTATATATATACTAAGTATTTAATAGCTATATTTACTTTAGTACTAGTTTTACTAGTAGAAAGTCTAATTATAATCCTTAAATAATAGTAAAAGAGTTTTTTAAATAGATATAAAAGATATTTAAAAGTAGAAATAAGCTTAAGTTTAGTAGCTATACTATTAGTATATAGTCTAATCTAAAGAATAGATATTTTATTCTTAATTTAATAAGCTTAGATAGTTTTAATATAGCTATAATATACTCTAGTATAATAAATACTATACTTATTTTTAAAAGGTCAAGGCCTCCAGTATAGGGTAGACCAGCTGTAGGGTAAGCTGGGTCTAGGGTAGGTGCAGCCTATAGGGTAGGCTGAGGAATACTGAAGGGATCGTTTCGAAAGGCGTAGTGGAAGAAGCAGCCTACTGAGTAAGAAAGAGAGGCTTTATCAGCTACAGGGTAGCTAAGAGGATGGACTGTAGGGTAGATAAAAGAGTGAATTGGTGGCTTAAAGAACCTCTATCTAGCAGGGAGGAAGCCCTGTACTTATAGGTATTTCAGGGCTCTAAGAGCCCTGAAGATAATATGTTGCCTTCTGTAATACAGGCTCATAACCGCTGTAAGGTTCTCGTACAGCGGATACGAGGTCCGCTAATACAAGTGCTACAGCGGATACGAAGTCCGCTAATACAGCTGCTACAGTAGTTACGAGGTTCACTAACTAAGTACTAAGGTTCTCGTACAGTAGACACGAGGTCCGCTAATACAAGCGCTACAGCGGACACGAGGACCGCTAATGCAGCTGCTACAGCGGACACGAGGACCGCTAATACAGCTGCTACAGCGCAATACGAGATCGCTAATACAGTCGCCACAGCGGCCGTTACAGCGGTTGTAACCGCTAACGCAATTACCCCAACGGGCAGCCACAGCGGGTTAGGCCGGTGGCTTCAGCGGGCTTCCAGCTTTAGAAAGCCCTAAGTTAGTTATTTCATTCCTCCTTACCCTATACCAATCTGAGATTATTTGATCAACTGATATAGGGTAACCTGATCTACCCTATAGTCTATAGGGTAAATCTCAATACTTATTAGTAAGTTTCTATCTAAGAAGATTCTATATAATATTAATAATTCTATATTTAATTACTTTTAACTTAATTAGTTTAAAAAGTTTTATATAAAACTCTAGATTATAAAAGTAATATATTCTAATAAATTAGAAAGCTCTATAGCTTATAATCTATAAGTATTATAGTTATATATAGTTAATATAGAACTTTAATATAATATTTAGTTTAAAATAGATTATAACTTAGTAATATAAAATTAATCTATAGAAGTAATCTAAATAAATATCTTCTATTTAAATTCAGAACCTACTAAATTAATAACTCTAATAAAATAATATCTTATATTTTATCTTAAGATTTAAAATCTATAATTAGCTTTATTAATAAATTATTAACTATCTCTAATATATCTAAGCTAAAGATATTAACTATCTATTTAGTAAGCTTTTCTAGTTTAATAATATCTAAGCTTATTAGAAATAACTAGATTAGTTATTAGCTATCTCTATATATTATTATTAAAATTATATAATTATAAAAGACCTTAAAAATATCTCTATATAAAATAGCTTTTTTCTATTACTTAGTTATAATTACTAGAAGTATTATATAGCTTATAAGGATAGAAGATATTTTACTAATACTAATCTCTTATTATAATTAATTTAAGATCTAAAGATAATATAGATAAATAAGTCTAGCTAAGAAAATAATATAAAGGGTTTTCTAATTATAGTTAACTATCTTTCTAATATAGAGTTATTAATATATAAAATAGATACTTTTAATAGCTTAAGTATATTATTAAAATAAATATCTTATAATCTATATTATCTCTATAGCTAGTAATCTAATACTAATAGAATATTATAATTATTTTATTATAGTTAATATTATACTAATCTTATATTATAAAAATAAATAAAATAGAATCTATATAAATTAGAATTAGAGAAGTAGAGACTAACTAATTATTAATTTTAATATAAAATATAGTACTTTTATAAACCCTGATTATTTTATCTATATTACTATTAATATCTAAATATAGAGTATTATAAATATAAATCTATATCTAATAAAGATAAAAAATATATAATATAATTAAAGTTATTATATAAATATTACTAGTTAAATTATATAGATCTACTAATAGACTGGTTTTAATTATATTTCTATTATTAATATCTATTAACAGCTCTATTATTAGTAAAATAATCTAGAATCTATATATAAATAAATATCTATCTTAGTATTAACTTCTTATAATAGAATTCCTAAGGAATATTCTAAGATTAATATAGCTATATAATTAATACTAAATATATATTAAAAAACTCTCTTTTATAGCTTAAGTTAGAGGGAATCTAAAGCTAAATTAAACTATTTAAAACTCTAATAATATCTAAGTTTAATATATTAATATAATACTAGCCCGGATAATTCCTACTTTAACTTAATCTTTATTATACTCTTCCTAATAGCTAATATATCAGATAGAAAAGCCTATAGAGCTTTTTAAAGAATATATAGTATAAGATAGAATAACCTGTATTATCTTAAGATTATTATAGAATAGGATACTATTAATATATACCTGAGCTGAGGTATATAATTACTATAGGTATTTAAGTTATTATTTCTTATAATTCGCCCAAGCCTCTATAGCTACCTGAGAGAGTGATCCCGAGTTCTCCAGAAGCAATGGCCCGATGGCAGATATCTATGCTAATGGGTTAGCAAACTTCTGTCTGGAGATAGATATGGCTTACCATATAGACAAAAAACGTTGCCACGGGATCAAAGCTAAGATCGTCCACGACACCAACAGGCCCTATGAGTGTGTTTTCCCATCGTCTGAAAGTAGGCGCATGCAGGAAAGGATATTAGGGATGGATGCTGTTGAAATACGCGTTGCTGAGGGATATGGCGAGCTCATAGTCGGGAAGGCAGCACGGTAACGGCTCCACCGTATCGGGTGAGTCCAGATGAAAGGACTCGAGGGTGCTTTGCACCAAGGACTGACGCAGAGATGAATGTATTAGACGTGAAAATGAAAAGGCAGATTAAGGGCCTAAATAGTGCGGCTCTTCTCCATCCACCAACAAGCCAAGCATGCCAGCTTGGTTGGACAGCTCACTGGGGCATTCGTCATCTTCGGCTGTCTGGTCCATCTGTGTGTCGGAACATGCGGGTAAATTGTCAATCCTCTGTGTGTCTAGAGGACTAGGCCTGGGGACGGGCGACCGCCGCAATTGTTCTTCAAGAAGTCCGATCCTGGCTTCTAAAGTCTCGACGTAATTCCGGGGCTGATGCCGTCCTGTCACCGGATCCTCGACGAAGCAAGCTAGAGCAAACGTATTATCAGTAACAGTAGCGCTCAGGTCAGTAATGTCAAGACCTGCCGAGGCCAAACCGTTGGCAATTCGCGCACGATGGGACTGGATTGTCGCACTATAACTGTGTTACAAACAGACAAGGCAGAGGACAGACCACCTCGAACCTTTTGCTTTCTTGCCTTGCAGTTGATGCATGCCAATTGTGCCCTTTGACCGACGCGGGCTTTTCTGACCCCTGGAATACCAGGCTTCCGGCTGACACTCCGCATTTTGAGGACGAGGAATGGGATGAGGGGAATTCTTGCATCCCAAGCATCCTTAGATCCAAATCCCAGATGAATTCGGCATTCCAAGTTGATTGCGGGGTACATAGTTAGATCCTATCGAGGGCTTTAAATGATACTAGAATACATTGACTGACAGACTCAAAGCGTGCTACGGCTGGTACCTCCTTAACAAGAGGCTATCGTACATCCTTGGCTCTGATCGGCCTATCGCAATCTTCCGTTATCTAAAATGCCGACTCGACGGAAGAATGCGTTCCACTTTTGATTGGCCAGCTGTCTCATTTGAAGGCTCAAGTCAATGTATAAACTGCCTGAGGAAGCCTAAATTGGGTGATACGATAAGGGCTTTTGTACAAATTTCATACACTACGCATTGACTGTGCCCCTGCGCTACGCTAGCACATCAATAAACATCATTGTTCCTGTCGTAGCCTCAACTGTCCTTCCTGTAAGTGTGTGGAATGTCCAGGCGTTCCAAGTGCTATGTTTTAAGTCGTTTGTGATGAGCTTAGGGTGCATACGAGCAAAATCTATGTGCTGGCAAGAACACAAGGTTACCAGAAATGTCTCTTGGGATCACAAGTCTTGATGCTGATTGTAATCTCATCATGATCTCGCCCTCGTTCGTTTTATGGCCTTGTCCCTTGTCTACCCGCTTATCGCTGGCTGGCGGTTTCTTCCGCGTAGCTCTTCGCCACGGCGTGGAAGCTTCCGCCTAGCCTCCCGCCAACGCAAGATGGCCATATGTAGCCAACCTCTCTGCATCCATCCTCACTTCTTAAACGGTCATCAAGATCAGCATCCCTAGAGCTTTTCTCGCTATGCAAACTATCAGCTTTCAAATTTTGCCTCGCTTCGCTGCCTCCTTGCACAGATCGCCAGCCAAGCTGCATCTATCTTCCACATCATGGGCCAAAAACTCCACGATCTCGCCGACGCCAAGTCTCAAACCACGCCTGCGTCCGATGTTGTAGCTGGCAGCACTGTGATGTTTCGTCCCGGCACCGTACGCCTAGAGGAAACTAACAGTTCAGCTCCTGAGGGCATCATTCTCCAACCACGGCCTACAGGAGATCCAAACGATCCGCTGAACTGGCCCATTTGGCGTAAATATCTCAACCTCGGCATCGTTGGCTTCTATTTCCTTTTGGTATCCGAGTTTATCAACTCTGCTACACCAACCTGGGGCCCAATGCTGAGAGAACTCGGGTTTAGCGACCAGGTTTTGACCGCTAGCTATACTATCGGGGGCGCCTTTCTCGCTATCGGTGCTGTCATTCTCGTTTCTTTCGCCCTCAAATTCGGTCTTCGACCGCTTTATATTTTTAGTTCTCTAGTCTAATGCGGCGTGAGTATCTGGTCCGTAAAACTCCAAAATGTAGCCGATCTTCTTTTGGTCAATATCCTCTGTACGAGATTCGGAGCGCTCGCTGAGGTTATAGTCCAGATAACAATTGCAGATATATTCTTTGTCCATCAGCGTAGAACATTCAACAGCATCTACATCTGGCTGTGGTAAGTCGCAGTCTCCCGTGGCCCTTTCATCGCCGGTTATATTACCGTGGGCCAAGGTTGAGATGGGTTTGGTGGTGGAATGCTGTGTTCTTCGGCGCATTCTTTGTGTTGGCCTGCTTCTGTTACGAAGATACGAAGTATTGCCCTGAGCCTGGACTACCTACAATCAGCCAGGGAACAGAGGAACGTCCGAAGTCTTCCGCAGACCCATCGATGGCTGGGCCAACCACTGTTTCGACAGAGGAGGGTTCGCCGCAAGACATTTACGTTGTCAGAATCAACCACGATATCCCAGTCAAGACTTATCGACAACGGTTGACCACTACTACAACATCTTTCGGTGGAGGTATCAAGTCTTTCCTTAGACACATGTATCAGCCCCTGGTTCTTCTCACCACCATCCCGGCCATCGCTTACACTGTGTTCGCATATGGCATCTTGATTGCACTACAAGACGTCATATCGACCTCATTTTCACTCTATATGACCCGACCTCCCTATTGTTTCGCTCCAAATCAGATCGGCCTCATGAACTTATCCAAATTGGTTGGGAGCACCATCGGCTCTATGATGGTCGGCCCTATAAGTGACGCCATGATCATATGGCTGGCCCGTCGAAACAATGGTATTTATGAGCCGGAGTCTCGGCTGTGAAGTCTCGCTTCTTTCCTTCCCTTTGTTCCTGCCGGAGCATTACTGGTGGGGTTCGTTCTCCAGAATAGTTTACCGTGGTCTACCATTGCTGTTGGCCTCGCATTGTACAAGCTTGGCATCGCCCCAGTGAACAGCATAACCATTACCTACCTTACCGACTCTTATAAATACGTAAGATCATCATGCTTCCTATCCTTGATAGAGCTCTGCTAACCATTGGTAGATCATTGGCGATGGTCTGGTTGGTGTCACTATCGTCCGAAATACCTTCAGTACTGCTTTCATCTTTGCCGTTGACCCATGGGTCCATGCTGTAGGTATCAAATGGGTTATTATTACTATTGTTCTGATCGCTACGGGAATCCTCTCTTTGACTGGGGTATTCATTGGATATGGCAAGACTTTCCGGGCACGAACTGCTCACAGGTACCAGCGCTATTCTCTTCTTCAATATCAGGAGAGGTAATGCCACCAATGAGAAACAAGGCTATTACCTAGGATCGAGACTAATACTAGGTCGCTCCTTTTGCCATCAGAGAGGGAGCGTCACAGCCTGCGATCTTGTCACTGCTGTCACCGCCTCGCGCGCCATGACCGCATCACATTTTAGTATATTAAGGAAGAAAGAGACCTTCAATAGAAATTCATTGATCTAGTCAACTGCTCTTATTCCAATTGAACCTGCTCGGAGCTATTCCCACATTGTTGTGTGTAAGTGAATGTGGTTTCGGGTTCGCGACTGCGGCACGGGAATCGCCACAGCGGCCACCACAATGCACGCCTCGACCCGCTCGTCATCCGAGTAGTTAGTACGCACACGATCACAGCCCAATCCGCCCTAATCTTCATGCCATAATAGATCTCCCGAAGAGCCCGCATCACCTACTTGGCACAGCCGTGTCGCTCCGACAGGCAAGACAAGAACGAGACGGTACCTTCTCGTTAATTCTCCTCTTCTTATATAGGCAAGTGAAGGTACTGGGTCGATGATAATATGGCAATGTTGGCACTGGGGGGCTTTCATCTCAATGAAATCAAAGTGCCCATATCACTTTACCAAGGGGGAGTAGACAATACCGTGCCATTTGCTCACGGAGAGTGGCTCGCCAAGCACTTGCCCCAGGAGAAACTCAAAACGCATCTGCTTCGTGATCAGGGGCACATCTCCATTTTCCTTGGACACGAAGAGAGTATCTTGGATGAGCTCTTGGAGATGGTGGAATATTAGAGGTAATTATTTCACTTTACCCTCCTCTGATGAACGGGGTAAACTAAACCAGGGCACGTAGGACGGGACAGCGAAAAAAGTATGAACTCCACCCTATTTTTAGGCTTAATTGGGATGTTGCAAGCGACCAAAAAGCTTTTCTTTGATTATAAATATTTACAGAAGAGGGAAGCCTGCCTAGTTTATGAGGTGCTAAAGGTCAAGCCTAGGATTTAATATATAGTGCTAAGCGCTAAACACTAAGAACACGGACACAATAGGATGAAATTAAAGGACACAGGCACATTCATTATAAGGCGAGCTGTATAGGTGGATTTGTTTGTGGTCAAGGATTGGTAATCTTATGTATTTATAATCAACACTCCCTGGCAGCAGCAGCACCAGGGGATTAGTAACGCTAAGCAGCTAAGAATTTCACCTTCCTAGTCGCCTTGGCACCTCACAAGTAAGCACAAGCAAGTATATAAACTATATAATGCCTCCAGAAGCTATAAAACATAAGTTAAAGGCTAGGGTAGAAAATCAAAGTCTAACGTAAGAATAACAACTGATCGCCATGTCTTCTTTAAATTTCGAGATAGTGGACGTCTTCTCCGACGTACCTTTCAAAGGCAACCCCCTAGCTGTCGTCGACGCAAGCACCAGCACCCTGACAACCACACAGATGCAGCTCATCGCCCGTCAATTCAATCTATCTGAGACTACTTTTGTTCTTCCAGTGGCTCAGGATAAAGCTGATGCTAGACTGCGATCGTTCCTGCCCGATGGAAGGGAGGTTTTTGGCGCCGGTCATAACATTCTTGGTGCATGGTGGCATCTTGCCCAAAGCGGCAAGCTAGAGTCAAAGAGGGCGTTGCCGCAATCAGCTGATGGTATCGAAGAGACAACCGTTTATCAAGAACTCGGTCAAGATGTGACATCACTCAAGATCCAACGGAGTCATCTGGTCAGCACTTCCGGAAGAGATGAGATTCAGGTCGTCCTACGCCAAGCGCCGCCAAAGCTGCAGGCCTACCATCCGGACCTCGCTTCATTAGCCGAAGCTGTAGGGATATTGGAGCAAGATATTGGCTGGTCGCTTCAGAGTGCAGAGGCTACAATAGCCCTCCAGCCACAAGTTCTATCCACCTCCACAACGTACCACCTGCTAGTCCCATTGGCATCCACCGAAGCCTTGAACCGCGTCGAGGTCCAGCGTGAAAAACTTCTTGCGCAACTCAAAATTGCAGATAAGAGAGCACACGGAATTTTCTTCTTCACACGAGCTGGTGCCGATATATATGAAGCCCGCTTCTTCTCCCCCAGTATGTCGGGAGAAGATCCAGCTACAGGAAGTGCTGCGGGCCCTTTGTCTGCTTATCTGTACAAGCATGGCGCTCTTAACGTCAAGGGGGGTAAAGGGGAAATTATTGTTCGACAAGGGCTGAAGGTAGGACGTGAATGCGTGATTCGCGTCGTGCTGCATGTTAGTGAAGATAACCATCTCGAGGTGGACCTTGTTGGCACGGGTGTCCAAGTTGTCAAAGGATCGATTGTTACCCCTGATCCGTCCACTGTATTCCAAGCTTTACTCTAGGAGTGATTAAAGCACTATTATGTTCCTACTACTCCTTTAGATTATGAGTTTTTTTTTCCCTTTATGCGAGCCTGCTTCGGTTTCATGACTACACACTAGCTATCTACCGTTAACGCCTATATATCTAAAATGGCGGAATGACGTGGATATAGAAGCCTGTTAGATAGATTTAGAGAAGAAGGGTTGACTGAGGATGTCAGAAAAAATTGGAACAGAATAATAGGCGCTGTTACTAAGGTGAGGAAGAGTTAGATAGTCTGATTCCCTGATAACCTGGGTTAGATCGGTTCCATTTTGAGCGAGTGTTGACATAAACTTTCAAGACAAAGACTGCATAGCTTAAGTATATATTGTCCAGAAGTTCGAAGGAACTTGGCTATGTTAGTATAGGATCTAGAGGATTTATTAAGTAAGAAATGTTTTTTTACCTTAATCTCGTGTTCCAGAAGGCGCTTTTAACACTGCCCGATAGCGCAAGATTGTACTTCTCTAAGCAATGCTTTCCAGCTATTGATCGATCGAAATATAAAGTAAAGACTATGAGTTTATAACTTCTTAATCACAAGACACAATTTATTCTTAACTGTACGAAACTATTACGGAGTCCTCCAATACAAAACGACCATCTAGTTAACGAACTGCTTGAAATAGCCTGCTATCTTTGAGCCTTGATCCAAACTTGCTGCGAAACCAAGGATATAGCCAGAACAAATTGTCACAATGGCCCTGGTAGTCTGGTCCATTCCATACTCGGAGTGGGCATTGCCATTAGCATCAAAATAGAATTTACACACAGGTGGTCCCTTGAATACCTGCCACGCACTACAAGCTGAAATCTTAAATATTCTTCTTAAAGCTCCTTTGATAATACCTTGAAAATATTTTTAGAGATTATAAAGTTGTATACTTTTATTAATCCCTTAAGTAGTTTTAGTATAATCTTAAGATAGAATTAGAGATTAATCTAAAACTTCAAAGGAAAGAGATAAACTTCTAAAGTTAATAGATATTTTCTAAATTAAGATTAAATTCTTAATTAATAAAATAATAATATTTATTTATTAGGATAGCAGCCTCTAGTATCCAGAGGTACTAGACTAACTCTAAATCCTGAGAAGGTTTCTTAGAACTGCTCTCTATACTTATCTTTAATATACTAGTATAGGGATTTAGATTAATAAGAATATAGGTCAGGATAGGCGAAAGATTTTAGTAGATATTAGAATACAGTTAGTAATTCTAATCCGATAGAACAGATTAATATCTGCCCCCGCTCTGTGAATAAAGGGTAGTGCTCTTACCCCTCAGATTAAGGTAAGAAGCCGAATAAAATACTTCCGAATAAGAAATACCCGAATTTCCGCTATATATACTATCAATTGAGTTACGACTTTTCATGCTATTTTCATAAGCAGCTTTTCAACCATCTTAATTATCCCCTTTGCGCTTAGTTGGACAGTCATCATGCAAGCTGTAGCCTAGATGTCTCTACCTGCGATCTGTTGTTTACCAAGGTTCTATCCTCATTACTCAGAACGCATTTTACGTTACGAATACGGCCATTGAACGCCAGTTTATTCGGCGAGGAATACTCGCCGGCCTGCACGAAAGCTCACATTCCACATACAACTCAATAAGAAGTGTGGGCTTAGAGGACTTATAGGGAGCCAGACTTTTGACGGTGAGATACTCAGGCGGTCACCAGCGTCTGTGTATGTAGGGGACGGCATGCTTTCGCATAGTGTTAGACCTAGATGAAGAATAGTATAGGGGCCAAGGCTCAAAATACACCTGCTCGACTCTGACATGGGTCGTGTAAAAGCCCCGCGACGGAATTAATGCTATGCTAAGCGATGAGAAGTAATGCGGGATATTTGATCAAAGAGACTGGACCAGACTGCGGCTGGCCATGCAATGAATCATCTAGGCATTGCCACATGCTCCTGCTGCCTAAATATGCTGAGCGTGTTACTGCAATACGGGATACGATACAGGCTCGGCATACTATTTCTGCACATGTCGATGCATCAATGCCCAAAGAGCTTCGCCTCACGTCCGCCTCATACTGGATCAAAGAGAATGCAACACCAATCTGGGTTTCACTGGACATTAATACGCTGACTGACTGCCATGTCACGTGTGACATCAATAATTGCTCAAGGCCATGACAAGTCAGTCTCCTGGAGCGGGGTTAAAATAATCTTACATGATCATCGATCTCAAGACGGCTGCCTCAAACTAGTGGAATTATCTATCGACGCATTAAAAGCGATGAATGAAGAAGAGCGGACCCTAGACGAGGGAGTGTCTAAAACTGATATCCCAAAAAGCCAGTATTATCTTGGGGCCGAGATGAAGCATCCATGATCGACAAATGGCCCCGAATGTGAAAAGCTAGAAGGCCCCGCTGATTCCATCGAACACCTCGAAAACATGATGATAGGAATAAAACCTGACTCTCCAACAAGAGCAAAGCAGCTTCAGACTCTCGGTACCGCCTACAGGAAGCGCTACGACAAGACAAACTCCCTTGTTGATTTGAATAAATCTGTTAAGTACCTTGAAGAAGCTCTGGGGGCTTCTTCAGTAGATGAGTCCGACTACTCTGATCGTCTCCAAGACCTTGGCCTTGGATACGTAGAGAGATACCAAAAGCAATCCGAATTGGCAGATCTATACCAGGCACTTCAACATTTTCATGAAACTTTGGAATTATCCCCTCAAGGTCACTCTGATCGTGGAAGCCGATTACAAAACCTTGGGAATGCGCTATATCTTCGATTTCTTGTTGAGGAGAAACCGGAAGACCTTGACTACGCTGTGCAGCTACTTGAGGAAAGCATTGGAATCAAGACTACTAACTCTCGTAGAGCCCGTCAACTCAATGCTCTTGCACTCATTTTGGATGAGAGATATGCTACAGGGGGGGATAATAGAGATGTTGAAAGAAGCCTTATCCTCCTTCAAGAAGCTGCAGATATAACACCATCAGATTCTGTAGAGAGAGCAATCGCGCTTCACAACATTGGAAGTCGTTATTCGGATCTATATCAGACAACTGGGGCCGCAATAGATCTTGAGAAATCCATGGAATTTTGCCATCAGGCACTAGAAATCACGCAAACGGACGACAAAAATCATGCAACCTTTCTCAAAGCTCTAGATGACAGCCATATGTTGAAATTCGAAGATCAAGGGAAACAAGACGATCTGGAGCAGGGATTGAAGCACCTTCAAAGCGCAGTAGAGTCAGCTTTGGATGGCAGCGCAGCTTGGCTCAGCGCGCTACAAAGTCTGGCTCATGCACACGTTACCCGTGATCAAAATTTCAGGGCAATTTATGATTTAGAAGTCGCAATTCAACACTGTGGCAAGGGCCTAAACTCCTCCGTTGGTGTTGGAAAGAGATTACAAGCTGATCTTTCAATGAATATGGGTGGCTGTTACTTCCAGAAATACGGAAGGAGCAAAGACTTACAAGATCTGGAAGAGTCTATACGGCTGTTCGAAGCGGCTCTAAGCCTGACACCACCGGATCACCCTGATCGCCCCCAGAATCTCTCAAACTTAAGTGCTGCACATTCGGAAAGATTTGTGCGAAACAAATGTGCTGAAGATATAGATCGGTCCATTGTACTAGGTAGGGAAGCGATCGATCTAACACCAAGAGGCCATCGTGACTATGCGCAGCAATGTCACAACCTTGGCTCCACGATACAAGACAGATACAGAATTTTTGGCTCGGAAGCGGATTTAAAGGAGTTTATTCAACTTTTCCAGGACTCCGTCGATGCGACTCCGGCCTATCGTCCAGAACGGGCAGACCGTCTTCAGCGGCTGGCCCTAGCTTATGGTGAAGCCCACGGGCAGACAGGAGCCACAGCAGATTTAAAAAAGGCAATTAAAGTATCTCGGGAGGCGCTGGATCATCAGAGCTCTCCGATACGGTATCGCATGCGTCCTGGGGTGAGCTTGTTGGGTGCGCTAGCCGCGATGAAGCGATGGGAAGAGGCGTACCTGGTCGCGCACATGACTGTTCACCTTGTTCCTCAACTCACACCTCGCTTCCTTGAGAACCTGGACAAACAGTATTTGCTAGGTACTGCCGGCCAGCTATCCTGTGACGCTGCAGCCGTAGCATTGAATGCTGGGAGGTCACCCTTTGAGGCGATAGAGTTGCTCGAGACGGGCCGCGGGGTCATTTCTGGGTCGCTTAGCGAGATTCGCTGTGATATATCAGACCTTCGTGGGAAGTATCCCGAACATGCAGATCAATTTGTGCTGCTCCGAGACCAAATCGACTCTTCCCGAGTCTCTGCTGCCTCGTCTGCCAGTACACGATACGATGCGGCCCAAAAGTTTGAGCAGCTCCTTCAGGACATTCGGGCCTTGCCTAGTCAAGAACATTTTCTTCTGGCCCCATCAGAGGAAGAGTTGAAAATTGCTGCGGATCAGGGTCCTATCGTGATGATCAACGTAAGCAAATTTAGATGTGATGCGTTGATCATCAAGCGCAACCAGATGAAGAGTCTACCACTACCTGATCTCTGCAGCAATGACATCCAGACTCGCGCAAATTCTAACTTGGCCGATAATGATATACTTGAGTGGCTCTGGGATACCATAGCTAGGCCCGTCCTTGAGGAGTTAGAATACAACAAACCTCCTACTACGAGCAATTGGCCTCGTATTTGGTGGGTGCTTTCGGGGCTACTGACTAAGTTCCCCCTTCATGCAGCAGGCTGCCACTTCCCCAACGGCTCAGATTCAGTCCTCGATAGAGCTATATCATCCTACAGTGTTTCATTAAAGGCACTCATTCTTGCCAGGAAGACCTCGACCAATAAAATCAACATGACTGGCCAAGAAAAGATCGTGCTTGTGCCTATGCAGAATACGCCCCTCCAGGGCAACCTTAATTTTGTCAAGACTGAGACCGACCGAGTAGCTAGCCTTTGTCAAGAAACCCTGCGGGTCGACAAGCCTCGGCCGTATCGAGACGATGTTCTTTCGGCGTTGCGCCACTGCGAGGTATTCCATTTCGCCGGACATGGGCAGACAGATATAGTGGATCCATCAAAAAGCTGTCTACCCCTGACAGACTGGCGAGATGATCCTTTAACAGTGGCTCATCTTCTTGAGACAGATTTATCCTCACGCAAACCGTTTCTTGCTTACCTTTCAGCGTGTGGTACCGGAAGGATGAAGGGGAACACACTTGTTAATGAAGGCCTCCACTTGATAAGCGCATGCCAAATCGCTGGATTTCAACATGTCATCGGTACATTATGGGAGGTAAACGACAGTCTATGCGTTGATGTAGCTGTCAAAGTGTATGAATGGATGCTCAGCAAAGGTATGACAAACGTGTCGGCTAGCGAAGGTCTTCATCACGCAACTCGACAACTTCGAAAGCGATGGGTAGTAGAAAATGCCGCAAGAGGCGCAGTGAATCTAGGTATGATGAGGAAAATTGATGCAAATTGGAAGGACAGTCCAGAATACGGGGGATCCAGGGACGCCGAAAGATGTGATGAACTTAGCCCGGCAGATTGGGTTCCATACGTCCATTTTGGGTTATAATATCGCCATGAGCCGATCATGATGTATGCGCTTAGAAGTTTTAGCTATCTATCTTATTTAAATTATATTACGTTTGGAGGTAGAACCTAGCAGAATAAAGCATGGCTGTCCTCAAATTCCTACTACCATTTGTCTTAGCTGAGGCTTGGTTGTTTGATATGGTACAAAGCTGAAAATTCTTAACTGTCAATTTTCACTCTTCCCGTCGTCAGAAATTCTCACCACAGCAGATCCATACATCCCTGGGAACTCGCTAAGCTTCGGCAGTTGTAGATTGTATATTGAGGTTGGCTGAAGGGTAACCCAAACTTTCAAAACGTCATGACGTCTCTGATGTTCATTATTCTTCATAATAGGAGGGATCTTCAATCTAAACAACTTGCTTAAGCGACCCGGCCCCCCTAGAGACATGGCAGAGACCTTGCCGTAAGATTCATGACAAACATCGGTAATCTGCCATTGAGGGCTGAGATTGTAAATTGACGTATATAGCTTATTATTAATGTTCATAGTGGTCTTTGACCCCTCTTCGATGGGTATCACTTATGTTTCATCGAATCGTTTCCCGCGCCCAGATAGGTGAACGTCAATGGACTTGTCAAAAGTCTTTAGCTGGCTCCAGGTTGCATAAGTCCTTCACGAATCAATATCGAATCAGATGCTTGAGAATATCACACATTTGGATTATTCTGGTTTCCGACCCCGGTACATTTGGGATGTTCAACAGTTCTTGACCACGGAGGTCCGTCACACACAATCGGTGGCGAACAAGGTTCACTTGGAAGGCAAAGTCGGCCTTATCAGTTTTCGTGAATCCCTCCAAATATCTTTCGCGGAGACAGTTAATCCAGGTCTTTTTATTGCGCAAGTTGGCTGCGAAGTTGCCGAAGCGCGAACTGACTCCCTTATGACTGACATGAAACATGGCACACCAAAGATAATTCCACGCAAGATAGGGACCTTATTTATTTTTCTTAATATAAATAAATAATAAAGTATAGATTTTAATATAATAATTTTTTTATTAGTTTTACTATAAATAAGAGTATATCCTAAGATCGGATAATATATAACTAGATTATATAATTTTTTTAAGAATATAATTAGTAATCTATATCTGAATTTTTAACTCTATAAGATAAAGTTAGATATTATACTTTTAGTCTAAGTATAAGTATTAATATCTTAAAAACTCTAATAATAGGAGTTATTTATATAGATAGATATATAAATAACCTAGCTATAGCTATAGCTCCTAAGGGGGAAAGCTTATTATCTAATTATAATAACTATATTTTCTTTCTAACTTAAAGCTTATTTTAATTAATTAATTAATTATATTATTAATTATTTACTAGATATTACTAATACTAATTATAACTACTTGAATTATTATAATTTTATTCTATATAATTATCTCTATTTATAAGGTTTTAATTATTATAAATAATATAGATTTTAATAAGATAATAGTAGTTATAAGAGATAATAGTATATAGCTCTTAATTAATTATATCTAATAAATATCTTTCTAAATAATTAAGAGCTTATTTATAATAATTAAATTACTAATAATATCTTAGATCTAGTAGCTATATCTACTAGATCTATTTTTATATTATATAGTTTATTATTTCTCTATATTATAAATATCTCTATAAGTACTTTTATAAGTATTTAAAGTAGATAAAAAATAATTAGAATAATAACTATATCTTAATAATAGTTATTTACTTATATATATATATTATAATCTAAGATTTTCTTTATAGTTCTAGTATATTCTATACTATTTTAAACTAATATTATGCTATAAACAGGGGCTATATAGAGCTCCCTATTTTTTTTTTTTTTTTTTTTTTTTTTTTTT